CCCCCCCCTCCACTGTCTTTATACCTTCAAATCAATTCAAACGCAATAACGTCCGAACAAATTGCCAGAGATGATCGTTTAAATCTTCCGGGCGATCGGCGAGCACTAAAGGGAAATAAATTACCGAGCGATCCCCTTGCCCCACCCCCTCAACATTCGTGTCTCTCCGTTCGCGGGGATGAAGTTTCCACGAGATTACTCCGTGTTTTTTCGAAGGTCTCGAACCGTGCCGATTGTCCCTCGACAACTCGATTGACAAACGACCTGTCCTCGATCTTCCTCTTCATCCTCTTCATCTCTCGTATTTATGCATTTCCCCACGCGCGCGCTCGTTTCCGGCTGTCTCCTTGCAAAATTCGATACAGCTGTTTTCGAGAGGGAGCGAGAAGGAAGTTTCAGAAGCGAGGAAACTTCCGTCGACGAGAACGGAACCCGGTTCGGTGTTCAAATCGACGAAAGAAGACGAGGGGAGGGCGAGCAATTCCGCGTTCTTCCGCGTTGTTTTGCGAAACTTGTTTCGCGCCTCGGAATACAAGGCAACGTTGCGATTCCAGGAGCTTAGGAGACAGTGCCAGGACTTTGCCACTGCCTTGCTGGATCACACGAGAAGTTCCTACGAGCTGGAGGTGCTGTTGAACCACGATCCCACCGGGCCGGCGTTCGAGCACGGCGAGAGGATGCACCTGAACCGGCTGAAACTCGCTATTAAACTTCGACAGAAAAAGGTAACCCCGCCTCGATTCCCTCGGTTCGTATCTCTCGAAAGTATCGTGAAAGATAAATTGCACGCTGTCGGAGAAATAAATCATTTGTTGTTTTTTTTTTTTTTTTTTTTTTTTTTACAATAGCTTCTAACGGAGTTTGAAAATAAATACGATAATAATATTTCATTTTTCGTCGTTTTCCGCCTATTTTACCGCGACTGTTATATTTATCCATCTCACTTATACTTGTCTCCATTGTCATCATATATTATCTATCTATTTATTTTAATATGCCCTTGCCTTACGATTTCCTTCTAGGCTAACTGTCTTTTCGAATTATGGTGATAATATTTTTTCCCCTAACATGAATCACATCGAAAGATTACTGGTAAGAATATTTTACAAAGTCATCGATGTCTTTTCCCTTCATGATCTCGCTCGAATGATGGCCTGTAATTTGAATTTATTAATCTTCAGTTTAAAGAATTGAAATTGAAATTGAAAATGCGAACTCACGTTGCAGAGGAATTTGCAAATCGGAACCGTAAATTTCTACCACCATCGAGTGTGTAACTGTCGACCTTCTTCTTGCATCTTTTCTTTCTTCTCTCATCTTCCGTAGAAGAGACTCTCCCCCAAGTATTTGAATAAATTAAACTAAAATGTGCAAATTTCCCTCCGCTAGACTTCTTTATCTTTTTCGTCGACGCAAGGAAAGACGAAGAAGGTTACGTTACTCCGGCAGAGAGTATCGATACGTAACGTGGTTAGGCGTGAGAGGGAGTCGGCGGTGACTAAGGGGTCCCGAAATTAGACCCTTAATGCCTTAATGAGTACAATTTCCCAGTGACATGACCGGAAACTCGTCGACCAATATTAGATTATCTCGGGAATTTCCAGTTCGTGGCGCATCCTAACGTGCAGCAGTTACTCGCATCGATTTGGTACGAGGGTCTTCCGGGCTTCCGGAGGAAAAACATGTTTCTCCAGGCATTGGAGATCGTGAGGATCGGCGTTCTCTTTCCGTTTTTCAGCGTCGCGTACATCATCGCACCGCACAGCGTCGTCGGCCAAACCATGAGGAAACCGTTCATCAAGTTCATCTGTCACTCGGCCTCGTACTTCACTTTTCTCTGTAAGTATACTTCACTCACTTCCTCCTCTTCCCCTCCCCGAAGCTTTTCTCCCCTTGAACGAGACCGCGTGCTGCAAGCTGTTCCATCGGCTGTTCCACGCGCTAAAATTAACCTCGATCAAAGTCGGTATTCGTGACTTTTCCTTTTTTTCTCTTCTCCCCTCTCTCCCTTCGCTCGCTCGTTTCCTTCGTGAACGTACACGTAGGAGAACACGGAGGAAATTCGTTCGATCTACGTCGTACAATCTACCTTTTTCTTTTTCTTTTTTTTTCTTTTTTTTTTTTTTTTTTTTTTTTTGAAAGTTTATCGAGCTCGTTTCACCTTTCGGCCTCGTTTCACCTTTCCGCGCGTCAGCGGACCAAGCCTTCGAAGCTTCCAAACAGTTTACAAATAAACTCTCACAGCAACCGCGATTCGCGAACACCTCTCACTACCAATAATAGCAGAGTGCAGTAATGCTCTAAATTTGAGACATCAACCACCGTTGCCGCGTGAAGCGATAAACATTTCGAAACGGGAGCAAGCGTCCTGTAACCCTTCCCCATCGGGTTCAAACTACGGGATTCCACTATACTACGCAACTTCACCATACTATGTACGTAGCACCTACAACTGTCGAACTTTGTCGTCGAACTATCAATATTTTTCTGCATACGCTTCCGATGTAACGATCGGAATGTAGCAGCAAATTTATACGAAATACTAAATTCTGATGCACATAAAAATATCTGAACGTTCGCCAAAAAATTCGCAACACACAGAGTGTCTCTGTATTCTCTGTAGTCGTTTCTCGCTAAATTTTTACTTCGAGATGGATAGTTCGCGAAGACGAAGATTATCGTAGATTTGAATATAACAGCAGTTGGAAACTTGGCGATGGAGATCCGGTGGAGGAACGGACTGAAAAGCGTCTACCGCGAAAGGCATAATTGACCTCGAAGTTAGACTAACGATATTTTGCGTCACGAGGAACGTAGCGAGATAATGCACTCCTCGAGGACGCGAGCCAGGAAGGCGCAAGGAATCTCCGGAGACTATTCAAGAACGAGCCAAGTTAATCTGCGAACCTGCTGTTGTGTATGTGTGTTTGTGTTTGTGTATGTGTAGTTAGTCTAGCACACAGGACGGATGTGAAGTTCTGCCAGCCCCACGATCGCGAAAACGAGACGTGTAGATCGCTAAATCGCATATCGATATCCGTCGTTTTTGAATCGGCGAACAATCTTGAATCAACGAAGATCGTGCTACAACGTCGTGCAAAGCGTTTCAGAAGCCTCCGGGGGATATTTCGAACAATATATAGTCCTCGCCTCGAGGTGACACAGCTTCGATTCGCCACGCCTCTTATCGAATTTACCTGAGACAATGTTGCACAAAGTTGCAAAGGATCCCATTATAGTAATTAGAATAATGCTGAGTGGAATTACGTCCCTCTGTTGAACACGTTTCACCTTGCTTGCGTGACAATGTGTCCTTTCCTGTAGCTGTATTTCCTATAGATATCTGTACGCATTTGAAGAAATGGCTGTAATATTCATCGAACGTTCACACATGCAAGTCTCATTTTCTCCTTTTGAGATACTTGCGCTCGCAATTTCAATTAGCAACTTGTAAGTTGGATAAATTATAAATCACGGATAAAACAACATTTTTAATACATGAAAAAATATTCATATTAAAGTATATGTGAGTTCTTCATTTTTTGAATTTTCTAAAAAAAAAAAAAAAAAAAAAAAAACATACACCAGTTTCAAAATAACTAAAATTTCAAATTAAATGAAAGCTCCATTCAATATCGAATGAAATAAAATCGTTGGATTCAATCGCTTTCGGCGTTTTCAATTTTTTCAGGAACAAAAATTTCTTGATAGGACGTTGATAACTTCTCCTCTTACTTTGCTAACTATTTTCACGTGGCCGGAGTGAATTTCGAAGTTATGATGAATAATACGTACCAATTCGTCCGCAGTCATGCTGATTCTGGCTAGTCAAAGGATAGAAAGCGTGATCGGCAACTGGATGGGCCACGATGTCATAGAACAGGAACACGAACCAGCACCAACGAAAAGGGGCGCTGCCCCGACGATCGTCGAATGGTAAGACAATATTTTTAACCAGTGCTTCTCTTCGGCCTTGACAGTCCTAGATATCCACTGCTATTTCTCCTAAAAATATTTCCCTAGATTCCCCTCGCGCGTCACCCTTGTGCACCGCCAGTCCGACTTTCTTCTACTAAAAATCTAGTAGCACAAACCCAAATAAAACCGACCTGCCGAAAATAAATATCCCCTCGATAGCCACATACCGGTTCCTGACATCTCTTGAAACGACCCCCTCCCCCTCCTCAAATTGACACCGTAAAGGGAATATATATATAATATATATTCCATTATATATTCCCTTATATTCCATTATATATATTATATTATATAATATAATAATACCCTGCCGAAAATATCCCCTCGATAGCCACATACCGGTTCCTAACATCTCTTGAAACGACCTCCCCTTCCCCTTCTCAAATTGACACCGTAAAGGGAATATATATATAATATATTATATATATTGTATTGTATTATATAATATAATATATATAATGGATTATTATATAATATTATATATTCCCTTATATTCCATGCGAAGTTCGGAATCACGTTTCTGGAAGCTTTTAAGTTTTCGATCCAGTGATATTCCCGAGAGACAGCCGGTTGCGAGCGAAATCGTACGAGCATCGCCAAGTGTGAACGACGTGGTATTCATAGGTTCATCCTGGCTTGGGTATCCGGCCTGATTTGGTCGGAGGTGAAGCAGCTGTGGGACGTCGGCCTGGAGGAGTACGTGAACGACATGTGGAACGTGATCGACTTCGTTACAAACTCCTTGTACGTAGCCACCGCTGCACTCAGGGTGGTCGCTTACTACAGGGTGCAGAAGGAAAGCCAGGCGTCGATGATCGAGCTACAACGTGAAGAGTGGGATACGTGGGACCCAATGCTCATATCCGAGGGCCTTTTCTCTGCCGCCAATATATTCAGGTCTATGCTCAGGATTTTTCTCGTTATTTGTTCGTTGATGTTCCCACGTAACTCGTACAGCTCTAGAGAAATTCAATCACGTTCAATCGTTTAATTATAGAATAAATCGCAGTGAAAGTTTTTTTTTTCGTAAAAATCACTACCTAAAATAAATTTTGCAGCGAAGATTTTATTTTCATTCCAAATGAAACGAAAACCAGCGTTGTTGCAGTAACTTCACGTGTTGAAAAGAAAAAAAAGAAAAAAGAAAGAGAGATGGTAATTGTGGCAGTAGCCTCTGAAAGGTTCTTTGCTACGTGATGTCGTGAAATCCCGAGGGACGTAATTGGGGGCCACTCTCTCAACATAAATTTCAATGTCACGCTCTTCAGCCGCGCATACGATCAAACGCAACGCGACACTGGTCTATCTACTTGCAGCTCTCTGAAACTTGTCTACATTTTCTCCGTGAATCCTCACCTCGGTCCCCTGCAAGTGTCCCTCTCCAGAATGGTGATGGACATCATGAAATTCTTCTTCCTCTACGTGCTGGTGCTGTTCGCCTTCTCGTGCGGTAAATCTCGATGTTAATTCGACTGGCGGTCGATTAGCGACGCGCGAAAACACGACACCCGGGAGTCGCTCTCACGAAACGGTGTTCCTCGTTGACCTAGGTCTAAACCAGCTGCTGTGGTACTACGCAGACATGGAGAAGAAAAGATGCCCGACAGCGATGTCTTACGCCCCTAACGCCAGCGTCACCACCGATTCGAACGCTTGCATCGTTTGGCGTCGATTCGCAAAGTATGACACTTCCGTTCCAAACGAAATTTGATACCTTTCATATCGGTGGCTCTTTAATAATTATTAGCCAATAATTGTATTGTCGAGGGTATCATTCTAAATATATAATAACTTTTCTTCTAAACACGCGTTACAGGCGCTCGGCTTTAATTTCCGAGACACTTTTTTTTGTCACCATTTGTCGTTTGGAATATTAACTCGAGCTATCAGCTTGGGTTTGAATTAGATTTAAATGTTCATACTGATAAACCTGTACAGAATATAAAATCTCTCTGCTTTAATTAAATAATAATACAACTGCATCGTATCATCATTATTCGAATACTTTAGCCACATACAATGTTAATACAATACATCAACGTGTCCATTGCCACGCGAAACTTTCACGTTTTGTCTGTGGAACAAAAGATTTAAAGTCCAACGAAAGTATATCTTTCGTTTTATAATATCTTATCTATTAATTGTTTATGTTATTTCTAATGAAATTCATCTCGTTTTAATTATTCTATTTCCGCCGAATGAAAATTCAATTGTACAACAGCTTACAAAATGTGATAGAACGACTGTGTGAACAACTAAATTCCTGAATATTTCTGATATTCTGTTAAAGTTATCAATACAGGCAAAAAAAAATCTAGTCTAATTAATACAAACATATTCCAAACGATACGAGGCGACAAAAATTTTTACGAATACTTGAATACACGAAAACTAAAGCCGAGGTCTCGTCAAAATCTGAGAGGTCGTTCGCTTTCTAAATAATTACCAATTATTGTTGGTTAATTAGAAAAGAACCGAATACGGTAATTTACAACTTTGCTACATCGTCTAGAATCCATTATAGTCGATTTAGTGCGAAGTTCGTTCGCTCGAGTTGCACGAGATAATTTCAGTTTCGTGTCTCTCGTCAGTTTGTTCGAAACGGCGCAAACGCTGTTCTGGGCGGTTTTTGGGCTGGTGGACCTCGAGAGCTTCGAGCTGGACGGCATCAAAGCGTTCACCAGGTTCTGGGGTATGCTGATGTTCGGCACGTACTCGGTGATCAACATCGTCGTCCTACTGAATCTGCTAATCGCCATGATGAACCATTCCTATCAATTGATCTCCGTGAGTTAATCTTCCGCCCGTTCTAATCGCCTCGCTCGCAGACACAATGCCAATTGCCTAAATCCCCTCTGCGATTCGAATCGGGCAGGAACGTGCCGACATCGAATGGAAGTTCGCCAGGAGCAAGCTGTGGATCAGCTATTTCGAGGAGGGTGGCACCGTTCCACCGCCGTTCAACATCATACCGACGCCGAAGAGCGTTTGGTACATGGGCCAATGGCTGTACCGGAAGCTGTGCGGCCACAGCAGGGCTGCCAAGAAGGAGCACATGCGAACGATCAGAGTGAGATTAATTAATTCTAATTCGCGGATTTTTCAATCGATCTAATCGAAGTCGTGTCGTGTCGTGTCGCTGTGATCTGCCGCGGAACAAACATAACACGCTCGGTGTAATCTTGTTTGTCTGGCAGAGGAAGGTTAAGCAAGCGTCGGAGAGGGACTTTAGGTACCAGAGCATTATGAGGAATTTAGTGAGGAGATACGTGACGGTGGAGCAGAGGAAGGCGGAGAGCGAGGGTGTAACCGAGGACGACGTGAACGAGATCAAACAAGACATCAGCGCTCTCAGATGCGAGCTGATCGAGATCCTGAAGAATTCCGGCATGAACACGTCGACGGCCAGTGGTACCGGTACTGGTGAGCTCTCCCCGCGAGATGCACGTTTGAAACGATTCTCACTTTGATCGCGACTTTGTAGACACTTGGTTCATTAATATTTCAATTTATCGTAGTTGTTTCGTAGAATTTAGAGAATCCCTGCGTAGCGTTCTACATACTCCTCTGCACGATCATTTGCTTCGAATCATTTTCGCACAGCGTAACGGAAGCTGTCGCAAGCCTTACACCGTGATACGACCACGACGTTAAGAAGAGGATTTCGGACTTCGTCCCTCGTAAATGAATGTTTCGAAGTTCGTTCATGTATCGTTTCGTCCGATTTCACGTGTAACGCGAGAAATTCCAACTGCCTTAATTCGCGTTAATTTTCTTCTGTCTGATCGTACGCGTATCGCACACATACACACACACACACACACACACACACACACACAGAGGCATTTGTCAAGCATCACTTTCAGTTCCTTAGTAGCTGCTTCGGAGTAGTCCTTGGTTTTTTTTCTCTCTGTCCCATAGACGGTAGCCTTAAAGAGCTGTCTATAGGTGCGGGGGGTAAGAAGAATCGGCAAAAGGAGCGACGCCTGATGAAGGGATTCAACATCGCGCCTCAGCCAAGCGGAAGTGGCAGTCTACCGCCGGTCGACGAATTCGCAGCGTCGCTGCAACAAGTGCAACAGGAGAACTCTCACGAGATATTCGGCTCGACCTTGAGCGGTATATTCGGACCGGGCGCCACACCGAAGAAGAGCCCACATCACACCAGCACCAACAGCGTTCCTGGACTCGGCACGAGCAGACAGAGCCGCAGAATTAGGGGAAGTTCGAAGAAGAAGAGGTGGGAGAATCTTATCGAAGCGGCTAAAGTCCGAGGCAAAGTTTCCAGGCTAATTGGTAAGTTACACAGTTATGCGTTTGTCTTGACTGGGGATAGCCAAGTGGACACGTTTCTTCATATCATTCGTATTTTATCATACCCGGAGATATTTAAATCTTCTCAGTTAAGAAATAGTAAACTATACGCTGCGAGTAGTACAAGCAAATGCTCGGAGGGTGTAAAAGCAATTATGACGAAACGTCAGTTGGTCAATTGAACGGGCAACAATATTTTTCAAGTATTCCAATACTCGCGACGGATACTAAATGAAGCAAAATCCTCTTGATTCCTCAGGTAGATCTCGTTCGGAGGATTCCGTGTACTCGCCTGCTTCGGAAGACGGTGGGTCGAGGTCGGAAGGATCGACGGACTCAAAGTCCTCGCTGGAGACCCCCGGGCACGAGGTCCAAGCCACACATCATTCCCATCACGCGCATCACGCGCATCATCACGAGGGACATCACGTGTTTGCTCACGGCTTAGGCGCGCTGGTAGCGCTTCGAAAGAAACGGAAAACATTCTCGGACTCGAGGTCGTCGACCTCGGGGATGAGAAGCAGCACCGGCACGAATCCGATGTACCCGATCGCCTCGGTCCTCGTTTCCAAGGTGTCGAAGAAGCAGCAACTGCAGAGAGCCAGCAGCGTGCCGACTAGGGGACCGGAATTAGGCCAACAGCCGATTCCACCGAGGAGGCACGAGGGCACGCAGAGTCAGCAACCCAGTATCGACACTCCCGAGGCTGCCAGCGCTAACGAGCAACCTGGTGAGTCTACCTTGATGGCTTTCGAATTGTTATATTATTTTTAATTAACTTTCAACCCCTCTCAACTTGGTTTGTCCAAGCTGGATCGTTCTAGTTCTTATATAACCTTGAAAAGTACTTATTCGAAATTGCATGCTTTACGTTCATTCTCATTTAAATCGTTTCTTGTTCCTATGAACGATTAACCTCTTAGCTGCGCATCTAGAATCTAGAACAGATTTTTCGATCAATCAATAACTTTATCGTTTAACTTAATTAATGTTGGTTGATAATAATTAAACACCAATAGCAATAAAATATTCAGAAATGATGTAAAAGGAACTATAGCAGTTCTACTAGTATCAAAAGCATGACGAG